AAACTTATTCCCCCTCCGATTTTTTTTTAGAATCTATTTGCCGCAAACGGCGCATGACCCCTGAAAACCCTTACGCAAATGTCTTCCTCGTTTCCCAGGTGCCCCCATTAGCTTCATAGGCGCCCTCTTAGGCATATAAGCGCCCAATGTATAGTCATCAGAGACATCCCTATGTCCCACAGTCGCCCCGTTGTCGCATACAATGTGCGCTTATCATAGGCGTCTCTCTTTTATGGACACTTGAAGGCGCCTCTCTTTGCCATGCCGGCGACCCTGTTTATGAATGCACCCCCATGACATTGATCAATTGCAGTCGCAGACCTCTATTGCATGTGGACGCCCATATATGTAGGCCTCAGAGGCACCCCTCTTTCGCATTGAGGCGCCCCTATGGGCTTCATAGGCGCCCCTCTATTGCACGTAGGTGCCTTACTGTCTCAGAACCGCTCCCATTTGGCATGCAGACGCCCATCTTTCGACGGAGGGGCCGCTGTGGTTCTTAGAGACGGCATGTTGCTCCCAGACGCAGATGGGGCTCTCGGAGTCGACAGTGTGGGACCTTCAGTCGCTGATGGGTGCCTGCCAGATGTGGACCCTCGGAAACGCCGGTATGGGGCCCTCAGAGATGCCGGTATGTGGCCCTTAGAGACACCGGTGTGGAACCCTGAGATACTTCAGTGTGAAGCCCTTACAATTGCTGGTGTGGAGCTATGAATGCGCTGGCAGGGACCCTCCCGCCTTAACATTAGATTTGAGTTGAGATAGCCAAAATGGGGTCCCTGGCTCACAATTACCGGTTTCGGCACTCACAACATCGAGAAATGCCTTAAATCGGAAATATTGAATTTCAAAATTGCAGCATTTTGATTCAGAGGGGCTAATGCTTAGGAATACCCCTCTGAATGTGTGACGTCAGCGCAGATATCTAACGATTTTTAAATGTTTGACTAAAACGTTTTGTAGCACGCTGTGGTATAGGTATGCTATTTGCGCGCAACATCTGCCGCAAACGCCGCACTTCTAAAATAAAGTCGCTAGAAACAGCGGAGATCCCAAAAAGTAAACAAAAGTAAAAGTCTAATATCTTGAAAACCGGTGAATATTTTTCGGTGAAATTTGGTAGATATTCGTTTTCGCTGTTTCTGAACCGAGCGACATCACTTTCATGCCAATTCATAAACTTTTTTGAAGGTGGGAGGGTCCCTTTAAATCCCTCAGAGGCCGGTACATGGACATTAGAGCTCAGTGAGAGCTTGTGTGGTGCCTTCAGTGGCCTTGTGGAGCCGTCAGACATCAACATGGTGCTCTCAGGAGCCGGTGAGTCCTCAGAGTCACCGGTGTGGGGCCTTCAGAGCTCCGAGATACTGGTGTGGGACCCTCAGTGGTGTCGGTGTGGGTCCTTCAGATATACCTATAGAGCCTTGAGATGCACAGGTGTGGTGGCCCACAGAGGCGCCGGTGTGGAGCCCCCAGAGCCACCGATATAGGGCCCTAAGAGACACTAGTATGACCCTCAAAGGCGCCGCTGTGTGGCGCTCATTAACCCGCGCGGGGCTGGGGGGGGGGTAAATTTTACCCCCCCCCCCTCGCGAATATTTGCAATATCTCAAAAACGGCGGCGCGCAGCGCCGCCAAACTTTCAGTACTTTTTCTTACATCAATTTGACACGTTCCCTGAAAATTTGAGCGAAATCCGTCAGAAAATTTTTTGAGAAATTGACGTTTTAGTGACGTCATGTTCGCCATTTTCGCCTCAAAAACGGCAAAAGTTCAAACGCCGCTAACATCTTCATTTTTAAAGGAATCAAAACGTAACAAAAAAGGATATACGTAATTCTACTTTGTCTATCAAATGGCCATCTCGGTTTTTTGAAAATTTTGGATTTTGGCCCAAATTTTTCAAAAAACTGACTTTTTTGGGAAAATAGCTATAAAATCCAAAATTTTGGGTGTATCGAAAAAACGGAATATATGTCAGAGAAGTGGTCTACGTGCACCTACATACCAAGTTTTAGAAGAATCGGTTCAAAAATGTGGGAGTTATTCAAAATTGTATGACGTCACGACACACAAAAATTTTGAAAAATGACTTTTTTGGAACTTCTAGACCTCGTACGGAAACAAAAATAGCACCATTCGATTCGCCGTGAAAAACTGCATCAGATAGACACCTTTTTAGGCCTTAACAACCAACTTCAAAATTTGACCTCACTTGACCTGACCTTGACCTGACCTCGACCTGAAATTCATCCAGAGGTGGTCCATATCACTTATTGAGTGTGCCTATTGAATTCTATGAGTAAAATGACCCATAAAACATGTGTCGCACATGCCCTTTTCTATATTTTGTTTTTGGTGACCTGACCTGACCTGACCTGACCTTGACCTTGACCTCTGAATGATATTGTATGCAACGAATATTGTCTTGGTAGCCTAAGAACACGTTTTGGGCGATCAGTCTCAGTCCATGACTCCATTCTTCGGCAACTACCGTGCATGGCCGATACTGTAGGAACTTGCAATTTGTACCCTTGACCTGACCTTGACCTTGACCTCAAACTTAAAATTAAGTACATTTTTTTAGTTGTTCGTGATGAGATCTTTCGATTGGCGTTTGAATTTTCCAAATCGGACCATTAGTTCGGGAGATAACAGGGGGGTAAAATTTACCCCCCCCCCCAGCCCCGCGCGTTCGGCTGGAGACCCCAGCCCCGCGCGGGTTAACACTGGTGTGGAGCCATCACAGGCGGGTGGAGCCGTTAGAGGCCGGAAAGGGCCCTTTAGATGCCTACAAGGAGCCTTCAGAAGCCGGCGTGGCGCCCTTATGGGGATAAGCGTGTCTACTTAGGAGCACTTGAGGTGCTCTCATGAGCTCTGTGGGGCCCTTACCGAGCCGAAATATGGCCACGGCCAGTTCCCGCCGCATGGCTCTTCGGACTGTCATTCTCAGGGGCCTCATCTGCCTAGTTTGAATAGAAGGGCCTCTCAGACAATCAGTATCATGGGCCTCCTCTGGCTAGTATAAATAGAAGGGCCTGTTAGACCATCAGTCCTAGGGGCCTCTTCTGGTTAGTATAAATAGAAGAGCCTCTTAGACCATAAATCTCAGGGGGCTCCTGTGGACAGTATAAATAAAAGGGCCTCTCAGACCATCAATCTCGGGGGCCTCCCTCGAAAAGTGTAAATGTGGATAGCTGGCCCCCTCAGATTCATTAGGAGTGGACCTCTCTGACTATCAGTCTCAGGGGCCTCTTGTGGCCAGTATGAACATAAGAGCCTCTCAGACCATCGGTCTCAGGGGCCTCTTCTGACTAGTTTGGATAGAGGGCCCTCCCAGACCACCGGTTTCAGGGGCCTCCAGTGGCCAGTTATATGAACAGAAGGGCCTCACAGCCATCAGCCTCGGGGGCCTCTTCTGACTGGTGTGAATATGAGGGCCTCTCATACCATCAGTCTCAGGGGCCTCTTCTGCCTGGTGTGATTACAAGGGCCTCTCAGGTCATCAGTCTCAGGGGCCTCCTCTGACTACAGTGTAGATGGATAGGCCTCTTCTGACTATTGAGGATAGAGGGGCCTCCTCTGACTAGTGAGGGTAGGGGGCCTCGGCTAGACCGCCAGTGTCAGGGGCCTATTCTGACTAGTGTGGATGGAGGGGCCTCCCAGACCACCAGTCTCAGACCTTTGACTAATGTGGATAGAGGGGCCTCCCAGACCGCCAGTGTCAGGGGCCTCCCCAGACCAGTGTGGACATTGGGGCCTCCTCAGATCCACTAGGGCCTCTCAGGCCATCAGTCTCAGGGGCTTCGACTGACAAGTATGAACAGGGGGCCTCCTTGGATCCATCACGGCCCCTTGGAGTCCGTGCGTGGGGATTCGTGGAACTTATTTTTACCGAGTTTGTTTATTCTGGAAGGTTACGACGTCCTCTCATATCGAGACGAGGGGCCTCGAGTAAAAAGTGGGTGGGCCAAAAGACATGGTTGGCCCCCCCACCTCGAAAAGTGGGTGGGCACTTGCCCACCTGCCCCCCCCCCCCCCTGTTCCTACGCCTATGGCATAATGAGTAACAAATGCAACTTCAAAGGCGCATGTAGTACAAGGGAAACGTACCTTGAAAACGCTCTTGGCGCCCTCACAGCCGAAGTTTTCCGAATGACGACTCGTAACAAACATGCGATAATTGTAGTTACTTAAGATTCAGAGCATCACTGACAGGTGGCATTCATGTCGTACAGTTTTCGAAATATCTCGAATTTCGGCTTTGCCCCAACTCCGGCATTGCCCCAACTTCCCCTATAAGACAAATAACGCGGAAGAAGATACATTTAATACACATTTCATCTGTGTTAAGGTCATTGATAAGAGAAAGAACAGCTCCGGACAAACTATTCGTACAAAAAGACGGACGAGGTTGAAACAATGCTCGAGTAAACGGTACGCTTAGCGTGGTATCCTCATACCAATGCATCTGCAGCTGTATGTGTACCTATATGTATGCATGTATGTAGTCATTCGTGTGCATGTTAATGTTTGTTTGTGCCAATATCCGTTTAAATTGCAGAACCCGAGTATTCGCATGTAGGTGAGGTGTCACTTTTGGTACTTTTTGGTAGTCACGAATGACGAACCAAATTTAAGCAATGGCCAAAATAGAATCACTTTTAGAAAATGAAATACTCCATGAGTTCGGATGAGATATAAACAACGGGTTAAATCATGTCTGGTGTTTCCAGTGGTTGGTAAGCGCAATCTTTCCGCTGCAGTGTGAATATGCTTTATCAAGGGCGATATAAATAAACGGCTGAGTTCCGTCCGGTATAAAGGACAAGAAATGGATGGTGTAAAGAAATACGAATGTCCTTTGGTTATTGTTCAGTGTGTTCACGTTCAGCCTAAGGTGTTTGTCTGCAGCTTTTTTATTTTAATAAATCTTATAACTGACCCCATTTCCCGTTGAGCCCCTTATCTGAGCCGCATGACTGACATTTTCCAATTGTCAGGGAGCCTCCAAACTCACCCGAGATGACATCGAACGAGTATTTGCGCTCTACGACAGGGTGAGTCCAGAGCGAAGCGCTCTCAACGATTCAGTTTAAATGAAATGGGTTTGATGGAACTTGGAAGCGTTCTCGGGAACACGGTATCTGATGCTCTAACTGTAACTACATGCCATTTATTTTGTTGCAGAAAGGAGCGAGATAGAGTGCAACGTTAAGCGTACACGTTTTGCTCGAATATGGTCACAAGGAACCAATGTCTCAGTTATGAAACCATTAACCCTATTCCTGGCGGGCTCCGCCGGGACAAGAAACTGGCGGGGGGGGGGCCGATTCGGCCCCCCCCCCCCTGAGATCTCGAGAACGAAGCAAGATAGCGACAAGCGGTAAACGGCATCGGATACGCACGGCCAAGATCTACAATTTTTACTAAGGTCATTTTCAGGTCAGGTCAAAGATGACGTCACAGGGGTCGAAAAAGTCAAAATGGCGGCGCTAGATATGGAGAGAGTTTTTCTCGAATAACTTTCGAATTAGTCAAGATAGGAACAAGCTAAGGGCATCATCGTGATCCTCTCGTCAATCCGCATCGAATAATATATATGTTGACCTCGAAAGGTCAAGGTCAAAGGTTGACCTCAGGTCACGTGACCTCGAGGTCATCATGTATATCATTCGATGCGTCTTGACGAGCTGAACACAATGAGACCATCCACGCGTCTGTATCTTGTTCCTGTACGGAGTTATTGGCCAAAAACCTTTGGTGACCTTTGATGACGTCACATGACCTCACAGCTGCCCAACAGCAAAACAGACCTCAAGGTAGTGAAGGTTGATCGTATATGAAGTCATGTATGGTATATGGGGACATTCCGACCCGTTTTAGTGGTAAAAACAGGGAGTTGATTTTTCCCCCATTGACTTATAATGGGGAGGTCGCGAAATTGACCTGACCTTAGGTCACCGATATCAAAATTCCGAGATATACAAATTGCACATACTGGTACCCTAACTAAACCCTGAAGAGAAGAAATTGATCGGTCAAAAACTCTAGCTCTGGCGTGATTGCAAACTTTTCTAAGGTAGGGTCACCAAACCGCCTCTGGTGACCTGACCTGAGGTCAGATCAACTCAAAATTTTCAGACATGTTGCGTAGAAGCCTTTTAGGAAAAGTCAGAAAATTTGAGCTTCCTAGCTCAACGCGTTTGGGAGAAATAACCAAAAAACCTCAGGGGGGGCTCCTGAGGCCCCCCCCCGCCAGGAATAGGGTTAAGAGGACATTTGGAATAAAGCCTGTGCTAATGCTTCATTAATGCTTGGTGCAATTTTCACCCAACTACAGGTACTCACACCTTGTGAACTATCCACAGTTATGTTCTTTTTCTCACATGACGTTACATTTTAGGACAACAGCGGCACCATTGAAGATGACGAGTTGACAGGCTTCCTGAAAGACCTGCTGGAGCTGGTTAAAAAGGTAAAGCTGGATTAATCATAGTCAATAACCGGGTGTCGTGAGCTCCTGCTTAGGATTGATTCTGTTTTAAATGCAAAAGTCATTTCCGGCCATTTGGTATCCATTCCTACCATTGCCACTTCATAGGTAGGTTGTAAGAAGTCCTTTTCTATCGGCAGGACTACGACGCCAAGGATCTGGATGAGTTCCAGGAGACCATCTTACGAGGCTGCGACTTCAATCGTGACGGCAAAATAAACAAGAAGGAGCTTACCATGATCCTGATGGCGCTCTCCAAACACAACGACGATGACACTCAGCAACAGTAAGGGTTCAGTGGTATCCATGAAGCAGCCTGATACCTAATTAAAAAGTTGACCTTTAAAGGTCAATGTTGGTAGTTGCGTATGACTCGGCCCGTCTTGATGCCCATCTTCTTTGAAGTTATTGAAGCACCAAATTATTTAAACCAACGAATGTCCTCCGCCTCGGCTGCCATTTCTGAAAGTCAAATTATTGCCTGCCTGCATGATCATACCGACATGTGTGCTTGAAATTGCATATGCCGAAATATCAACTGCCAGTGGCTCCTCCGTCTCCCCATTTTAAAGAGCATGCAACGCTGGTGATCAGTTCTTTCGCATGACATTTTCAACATGACCCGTTTTTATACGAATGACAGTTATGCTTATTACACATCATTTATATTCCATCATTTTTTTCACGAGTTAAGTTGATTTTATTCTTATTGATGTGCAACCCGTAAAGGGAGGAAGAAGAACATATACACAAATAATTAAGTTTGAGTTGAACCTACTTGGAAGAAGCCGTGGCATGTTCCGCTTCCGGACCTCATGCTCACCAGTGTCAGCTGATGCTTCTTGATGTCAAGATAGTGTTCTGTGTTCCTTTTGCGCTTTTTAAATGCCATTTTGCCCTTCGCTCGCTCTATGTTTCTGTGCTGCAGCACAACGCTTTATTTGTGTCCATGCAGCGCTTCACACACTTGCTGATTTTTGCAGCATGTCTGACCTTGGCTTCTAGTCTGCGCTGGCTTTCTTCGCGGAGCCGTCTAACCATGGACGTAAGTATGTTTCAAAATATTGTTCCATTTGTCAGTATGTCAGTCGTAACGGTGTTCGCATACTGTTAACCCTGTTTTTAGTTTAAACTAGTGGAAGGAGTAGGTAGCAATGCATGTTATAACTTCATCAACATTCAACAATCTCCTATCACTTACGTTGCAGCCCGAGCTGCCCTCCTACAATATATACCGCATAAATCCACATTCCACATCCTACAACTTACCGACAACCTACAAAACTATCGTCCTTTCTTCTTTTAACCCGCGCCCCGTAGGGGGGGGGCCGAAACGGCCCCCCCCTCTCCTTTTCGGTCGATATCTCCTAAACGGCTGGAGATATCGCCACCAAACTTTCAGGACCCCTCCGGGCATCAATTTTACACATTGTGACCAAAAATTTTTCCAGAGGCTATGATAGGTTGGCCACAAATGACGTCAGAGTGACGTCATGTTCTGTCATTTTCGACCGAAAAAAGACCTTCGCGAGAAGACCTGTCAGGACTACAGCTTTGAAGATACAGAAAAATGATCAAGACATAAAAGGTGTAGAATTGACAGGGCTACAAAACTGCTATCTCGGATTTTTGAAATTTTTGAGTTTTGACCCCCAAAAATCAAAAAAGCATTTTTTTGGATATATTCGCCAAAAAATCCAAAAATTTTTTTGAGTTTCGAAAAAAACCGGAATATATGTGATAGTGCCTACCGTCTTCTATCTACATACCAAATTTCAGATCGATACCTCGTTTTTTGGCCAAGTTATAGCGAAAAAACTGTTCAAAAATGATGACGTCAAATTTTCAAACTCAATTTTTGGCAATTCTAGAACTCGTAGAGCAAAACGAAGACCACCATTAGACTCCCCGTGACGAGCTGCATCGAATCGATACCCATTTTATGCAAAAATATCAACTTTGAAATTTGACCTAATTTGACCTGACCTTGACCTGACCTTCACAAAAACGTGACCTAGGCTGGCCCCAAAGGCTGCCTAACCCACATAATTGCATTTGTCATGTAAAATGGACCATAAAACATGTATCACACGACACATTCATATTGTGACCCCCGGTGACCTGACCTCGCTGTGACCTGACCTGGTATCAGTGACCTCAGATAGCAAAGTATGTGTTTGACGAACAATGTACCATCGATGGTTTTCAATAAATTACCAATTTACTCGCTTTCACAGCACATTTCTTGAATTGCCTGTGAACGGTGAAAATCTGACCTTTGACCTGACCTGTGACGTCATCGGTTTGACCTAGGTCAATGAAATTTGGTCACAAGGTAGTTCCTGGGTGGGGCTATCGAACGCCGTTTGAATTTCGAAAATCGGCCGGTAACTTTCCGAGATCTTAGGGGGGGGCCGATACGGCCCCCCCCCCTACGGGTGGTAGGGTCCGCCGGTAGCCCTACGGGGCGCGGGTTAAGAAATGCACAATAAGCACATAACTTCATCAACATGCCTACATAATTGCTTATAACCCAGTTCCTCACTCACCTCACATACGCTGACATACCCTTTCCAGGCTGATGTGCCATGCTGATCCCGTTAGCTGTTTACCAGTTCGGTCACGATGACACACTGACACCGTCCAGCTGCTGAGTGCTGGCTATGCTGTGGAGCAGACGAAAGCCATTTGTGAAGGCAGTTGAGAAGCTACGGGTCGCAGAGTACATTGAGATTTTCGGATGCACTAAAAAAGACAGCACCAAAATATATTCAAGGCGGAAAAAGACATAGCCAAAGGTGGAAGGTACATGAAGCGCATGAGACGCACGTCATGTTAAGATCGAGATAGCAGCAAATAGCAAAATAGGGGAGAGCGGGGTGAGTTGTATCATGTCCAAGTTGTATCAGGGCGAATTGTGCCAAACTTATCCAATAGGTAGCGCTCGTGACACGACCAGTCGACGAGGTTTTCCGGGCGCCATCTTTCCCTGTTCTGTCGTGTGGCTGGGTGGACGCGTCTCGAGGTGAGAGCCGATTTTATGTTTTTTTAATGTCATTCTAAAAAAATAGGCTGCAGGAAAATGTGTGCTTTGGGCATTTAGATGTGCACGAATTTGAAAGATCTCCGTAGCGGTGGTGAGGGTAGGTTCTAAGGCTGCGTGAGTGAAAATGGACTTCTCCAGCTGTCCGCTGTTTTTGAGCACGAGGATGTTTTTTCCAAGATGGCGGCGAGGTACATGTTGTATCAGAGCCGGGTGGGGTATGTTGTAACATGTATGTATGTATGTACGTATGGGTATGTTGCTTTTGATCGCGAAAGCTAAGCCCTGGCTCGCGTTTGTAGGTAGCTAGTCAATACTCGTTCCATTTCGGCACAATGTGTTGGCTGCTTTGCTCTTAACGGGTCACTTTTGCGTCTAGTCTGTTGATGTTTCGTTCGTTTCGATGTTTCGTTCGGATCGACCTAAGTTTGGTCTAATAAAAGTGAAGCCTTTGCGCATATACATTGTATTAACCCCATTTAATGTTGTTTTTATGTTTAAAACCAGTAGCAAACACACTCCCTGAAACGTGAAATAGTGATACAAATTACCCCACCATGTGATACAACTCACCCAAGCCATGGGGCAAGTTGTATCAAAAACATTGCTCTATTCGGCAGACCGTAGAAGAAAAACTAGCAGAGGTAGCGGAAAAGTTACTTTGCACAAAAAAGCAGAAGAATCAAGGAAGGAGATAGTATGGAAATAATGAGTTTATCACGGATAGTTACGAGGTTATGGGTCTCGGAGTAAAAACTGATACAACCCACCCCACTCTCCCCTAACCATATTGCCAAGGAACGAAGTCTGAACTCTGAATACTGCGGTAGAAGCAATGAGACGCCTAAATGAAGGCACGCTTTCACGTTTTAAACGCTGTGAAGCTGATCTGACTGCAGCTCGCTCTTTCTTCGCCATGACTGCAAACGCCGGAGCGCAGTCTAAGCTCGCTTCGCCGCCTGAAAACGTGACTGCGATCCGAGATGAGCGAGACACTCCTGAATTCGATGCTGCCACGTCCACCGCGACCTGCTGGCCTCTAGGTGCGAACCGAGCGGCAGCGACATTCATCAGAATGAAGCGTGCCTTCCAAGAAGCCGATTAAAGGGACAGTATCACCATTTTGATGAAATTTGACATTGCATAGGCCCCACCTTTCTGGTTCGGGAACTGAAGACCGATCCTCGAAGCTCCACACCGTTATCCCGCTATCGCCGCTCAAAGTACGAAAGGTGTACCACACTTTGAATCGTGCTTCACTATCTTCACTGTTTAAATATTTGCGCCGTTTTGAATTGACCGCCAGTAATAAAACTTTTACCCTGGTCATTTCATCAAATTTTATAAAGCCAAAACGTTTTTCGCACTTATTCATCACCGTTAAATTCATTAAATAGTCGTAGGCAATTTCCGCTGTTTCCTTCGGATTCTAGCGGCTCAACAAAGGAATTCCTCCAGCTGGAATCACAATCTCCCTCCAATGTATGACGTTTATCACGTGATTGTCACGTGATATTTTCTCCCATTGTCAATTGTCACGTCCAATTGTCACTCCCTCCAATTGTCACGTTATATTTTCATAGGCAATACCTAAGGCTACCTCTCCCTAAGGACAACTCAATCAGAAGAACGACCGCGTAAGCGTAGCGTCAATAATGTATTATCTGCGCCAGTTCTGTAGTAATTTTGCATGCTTCCAAACTGGCGGCCATGCTTGTATAGTGGTGGTTCGCTCATGAAAATGAATCATGAAAATGAAATGTGGTTGCAATATTTTTCACCGAGTTCGGTCCTCAAACTATGTTTTTCTGATTCAGAAAAATAAGAAATGCTAGTAAAAAAAAAATCAGCTCCTTACCTGGATTTTTTTTCGATGATACTGTCCCTTTAACAGCGGCGGTGCGGAAAATTGGGATAAAATATAGCCAAAGCGTCAGCTTGGCTTGGCTATCGAAGGGAGTTGTTCCGTTGGCCCACAAACTTGCCCCGCTCTTGGCTTAATAATTTTTTTGTGGGCATCAGGGGTTTCGGGTGGATAATGGAGAAAATTCGGACCGAGCGGACTGGAAGTTCATGGGCCCGCGTGTCGAGCTCCAACCGTACCGACGGAAGCGAACTTCAATAAACAGTCGTGAAGTGAAATCTACGGCTGAAATCACCTGTTGCAGGGCCACTGGATACCCGTTAATTTCGGCTTGCACATAATTAAATATGTGCGTTTTGACAGCTGTAGGTAGTCACTGCAACGCAACCAGGTATTGGGTAACGCACCTTACCTAGCAAGCATTAGCAAAGTAATCGAAACTGGCAAAAACTGGGCCTAAAAGTTTGATGAAGTAGGTAAGTGCAATTACTTGTAACTAGTAAATTAAATACCCGTGATCTAAACGTATTACACCGAGCGGCTGGACACCTCGGCACGCGACTGACGTCCGCTCCGCCGTGGATATTCGCATTATAAAGATCTTATGATCCGTAAGAGATCTTATCTTATAATACCTATACCAATTAGATCTCTGTGGATATCCGCATAAATTTCTATCTTGATTTTGGCAGCTGGGTCAGTCTGACAAAGAGACAATGGCGTGCATGGTTATATTCCACGAAATGACATAGTGCAACCGTTTCAGCTAACGCAGCAAAGTGCTCCATTTATTACGTGGTCGATTCACTGGTGTCTGGTTTTGCCTTTGTTTGCCGTACAATTGGTAATTTATAACATGGTCAGACTTTATTCCTCCAGGCGGTCGACTGACTTCAGTGCCATTCGACCATTACCGGAAAAAGTTGCCGGCCTTACAGACTTACGCGTAGAATAACTATGCAAGAGAAAAGGTAACTGCCTGTGGAAGTAAATAGTTACTGGAAGCATGGAATCCGTCATACGTTGCTAGTTACCCGTCGAGAAGCGGTCACTGACACTGGCTGCATTTCCTCATGGCACGCTATTGGAATGCAGGAGGAAGAAGGGACATGAATATTAACAGTCGTTTTATCGTTCTAGGAGTGCCATCAGCGAGATCACCAGCTTCGGCATGCGAGCGATTCGTATGCAGAAGCTGCGCGTGCGTCACTTGGTGAACCGCACGCTCGGCGCCTCCTCACCTGTGCCCAAGGGCGCGGCCAGCAGCTAGTCTCCCGGACTCGTGTTGGCGAGCACTGAGCGGGCGCACAGTTGGCGACTCGAGGTGGCTGGTTGGACGAGCTCGGTCCGACGAGCGCCGGCCATGGGACTGCGTTTTACGTACATGGACGTTTTGGGGTGAAATTCCGGTGTGTTGCTGCAAATATTGTGTAACAGAATTGTTTACAATAGGTGTAGTTCGTTATAGATATGTAAACTTCTTGATATCGATGTCTTTGTCTGTCATACATCGACATATCTGTCGTGTCATCTTACTCGAAATACTGATATTCTAAGACTATGCGATGAAGCATAAGGCAGAGTCTAACTAGAAGCATTTCGGGTCTACGACTTCGGGCACGGAATATATAGTTTAACGATGTATGTGTCGCTAGACTAATATGTCGTTAGTCCAACAACACCATGCATAGTCTAAAGAATATATATCGTTAGACGATACATTCCGTGCTTCGGGCTTTTATTCCCTGATGCTGATAATCTTGTTATCAACTGAATGTGCTTACATAGACGAAGTATGATTCGACATGTTCTTGCTCGTTCTTACCATCTCTTGTGAAAAGAAATAAATGGTTGATCGAAACTATAGTTGTGCTCCTTTTTACTGTTGACTTCCGTATCATCTGAAGCACCTGAATGTTACTGCTTAATGTTAGTCACGATTCACACCACGCTTTCGAGTCTAACACATATCTGCACACACGAGTGGTGCTAGGCGGACGAAAATATTTGGCCCCTGAACCTTATCTGCAAGAATATTGACTGTCGAGCTCACCAGCTGGCTAATACAATTAATACAGTTCATGGGTAGGGGAAGCCGGGGGAAGCCCGGGCGCGGGGGAAGCCCGGCCACCCCGTTTCCGGCTAAATTATTCACAATAAAATGCTCAACTGTTTGTCCTTTCAGTGTGGCAGCTAAGGTAACGCCAACAAACAAGTTAAGGCTAACAAAAATTGCATATTGTTGAAGTTATAGCGCAAAAATGATATTTTAAGGGTTTTTAGCTAAAAAGTGAGATATGTTGCACTGTTAATGTTATACCATACAGTACTAATAGTTATACGAATGTTATGTAAGGACCGTTTAAGTGTTTGTAGTGAGGGGTGACGAGGCAGACTGGCTTAAAGGGACAGTATCACCATTTTGATGAAATTTGACATTGCATAGGCCCCACCTTTCTGGTCCGGGAACTGAAGACCGATCCTCGAAGCTCCACACCGTTATCCCGCTATCGCCGCTCAAAGTACGAAAGGTGTACCACACTTTGAATCGTGCTTCACTATCTTCACTGTTTAAATGTTTGCGCCGTTTTGAATTGACCGCCAGTAATAAAACTTTTACCCTGGTCATTTCATCAAATTTTATAAAGCCAAAACGTTTTTCGCACTTATTCATCACCGTTAAATTCATTAAATAGTCGTAGGCAATTTCCGCTGTTTCCTTCGGATTCTAGCGGCTCAACAAAGGAATTCCTCCAGCTTGAATCACAATCTCCCTCCAATGTATGACGTTTATCACGTGATTGTCACGTGATATTTTCTCCCATTGTCAATTGTCACGTCCAATTGTCACTCCCTCCAATTGTCACGTTATATTTTTATAGGCAATACCTAAGGCTACCTCTCCCTAAGGACAACTCAATCAGAAGAACGACCGCGTAAGCGTAGCGTCAATAATGTATTAGCTGCGCCAGTTCTGTAGTAATTTTGCATGCTTCCAAACTGGCGGCCATGCTTGTATAGTGGTGGTTCGCTCATGAAAATGAATCATGAAAATGAAATGTGGTTGCAATATTTTTCACCGAGTTCGGTCCTCAAACTATGTTTTTCTGATTCAGAAAAATAAGAAATGCTAGTAAAAAAAAAATCAGCTCCATACATGGATTTTTTTTTCGATGATACTGTCCCTTTAAGTATGACATTTTTTCGAATATCGCTGTTCTAAAATAAAAATTAGCACATTGGGGTAACCTCGGGCGAGTGGCCAAGCTTACCCCCAACCGAGAGCAATGCCACTAAACCACTGTTTTCCATGAGATAATAGGTACTGAGCAGGTTTGGTTTACACCTAGATCAAAGATAAATTTCGAAAATAAACATGTTATCATCGACAAAGCCAGTCATGTCACTTAAGGTCAATTAGGGTCAAACTACGTTTTTGCAGATAACGCGACAGACAATGAAGCTAGAGCTTCAAAAATGGTGTCGTTGTGTTCTTCTCCATCAGCCGAGTCGAATGATATGCAATATGATGCATTAAAGGTAGTGTGCCACCTTTGAAAGATTTCCCATTTTATTTTTCCTAGGATAAGAAGCTTCTGTTTTTACCTAATATCGCAAAGAAAATCGAAAATGGGCCTGGAATAGTGCCTTTTTCGCCTAAAAGTTTATCGGTTTTTCGATATGTATAACAACTGTAGTGGGCTGACCTGTAAACAGGTGTCGGCAACAATCGCGAATGCGGCGCACATGTGACAATAAGCAAAGGTCATTATAGAGTTACGACGTACGGGAAGGAGTTATCAGCTGTCTAATCGTAGACAACACAATGTCGAGCCTTAAACTGTAAGCCTGTATTGGTATTGTTTCTTTTATTTGGCTGTCGAACATTATTTATGGTTTGAAATATGATTTTATGTAAAATAATTGATATGAAAAAGCCGTCTCTTAAGTTATGACCCCATTTCACCACACGCAAGTGGCAGAAATGACAATGATCAGCTGACGCATTTTTCTTGGCCGAAGTCAGAGCGCGCGGCCCGACGCACCACACCGCACCTCAAAGTATGAACAGAAGCCGCGCCCAAAGCCAGGGCCCCGGTAACGTGAGGTAGCCGAGTCGGGGCAGCGTGCGCTGACCCAAGCCGGGGCCGCAGCTTTGGGCGCGGTCTACCGCATCCCCGCGGGCAGCCCCGGGCTATCACATGACACCGGGAGGACGCGCGGCCCCGGCTTGGGTCAACGCACGCTGCCCCGACTCGGCTACCTCACGTTACCGGGGCCCTGGCTTTGGGCGCGGTCTACCGCACCACCTAACAGGCGTGTTCGAAACCGCAGGAGATGATGATCAACGGGTTTATCGAAACTTGATTGGATGAGCATATCGGTAATAGCGATTTCAGTGTGTGCATTTATTGTTCATAGTGGTGTGAAATGTGGTTGGGGTACGACCGACAACCCGTCGGGGCGAATTTCACACTGGGGTACTCAAAATTTGAAGAATTTAAGACGTTTCCATGAGTTTTGAAGGTATGGATAAGTTCTAAAAATCCGGTTCTCCTTATCTGGGCCATTAACTCCATACGGTCCAGGAAAGCTGGCACACTACCTTTAAGGTAAAAAGAAAAATAAATTTTAAGGAATTTTGAAATACACATTTTTTGTCAATTTTGCATCACGATTTTCATCGACCTGTACTGTATATGTGGTAGACCAAGGGCGGATCTAGGGGGTCGTTTTGGGGGGGGTCACCAGTCGGCCGACATACCAGGTCTGGTGAATGAATTCTGACGACCGGGGGGGGGGGGGGGGTAGGGAGCGAGTATGTCGAGATCAAAAAATGACATTTGATCTTCGTCGTTTATAAGATGAAGTTTTATCGTAAGTCACTCGGCTCAGTAGTTTTAGTTAGTGAAACCCACCTATATAGGAGCGTCGCCACGGATTTTTTACTGGGGGGGGGGGGGAGGCGGGTCGACCGACTTAAAAACCCAGAAGTAGATATAGTTACCTCACTTTTAGCCTAATGCATTAGTAAATAGTAGCATACAGTCACGATCTCTCTTATTGACCTGTGTATGAATCGGCGGCGCGAAGCGCCGCAAAAATTTGCAAAAAAAGTTGTCAAAACACAGCTCTAAAACACAAATATTACAACCTTTTTAGCATGCTAGTACAAGCCGGAGTTCCTTCACAGTACACATATGAATTCCGATTCAATTTGACACGGTTGGTGTTATTACAGTCACTGTTATTTCTCTCTTATTGATTGGTGTATAAATCGGCGGCGCGAAGCGCCGAGAAAATTTGCAAAAGAATGTGTCGAAACACAGCTCCAAAACACAAATTTTACCACCCTTTTAGCATTGCAGTACAAGCCGGAGTTCCTTTACAGCACACATATGAATTCTGATTCAATTTGACACGGTTGGTTTATGTAATTACAGTCAAGATTTCGTATTGACCTGTACGTATGTACATAAATCGGCGGCGCGAAGCGCCGCGAAAAATTTGCAAAAACATTTGTCAAAACACAGAGGGGGCCTCCTCTCTACAGAGGACCACCGATCTCTACTGCGGGCCTCCTCTTTTCACAGGGCCTCTTAACTACAGAAGCTACAGGGCCTCCTCTCTACAGAGGGCTTCCTCTCTACTGAGGGTCTCTCCCTTTAAGAGGGCCTCCTTTACAGAGGGCCTCCTCTCTTCAAAGAGCCAGAGGACCTCATCTCTGCAAAGGGCCTCCTCTCTTCAGAGGGCCTCTTCTCTACAGAGGGCCTCCTTTCTTCAGAGGGCCTCTTCTCTACAGCGGGTCTCCACTCTTCAGAGGGCCTTCTGCATTCAGGCGGTCTCCTTTCCACAGAGGGCCTCCTCTCTACACAGGGCCTCCTCTCTACATAGAGCCTTCTCTCTACAGCAGGTCTCCTCTCTACAGAGGGCCTCCTCTTTAAAGGGGTCTCCTCTCTACAGGGGGCCTCCTCTCTACTGAGGGCCTCCTTTCTACAGAGGACCTCCTCTACAGAGGGCCTCCTACCTACTGAGGAGTCAGAGGGGCCCTAGCGGTCAGACACAGACACTAGCGGTTATTCACTGGAGGCCCCAGGAAGTAAGAAGGGCCCTAGCTGTCAGGCTGGTCAGAGGGCCCTGAATGTCCTGACGTGATTTTTGGGATTCCCGTGAATTTCTTTCGCCTCAGACGTGATTTTGACCTGCCAGGGCCCAGGGGCACTAAAAATAAAACAAACAAAATAAAAAATGAAAATAGGACATCACCAAAATTAAGTGACCGAAATCCGTTGAGTTTTTAATTTTGCGTATAGGTAGGGGCACCACGAATTAAATTCATGACCATCCCCTTGGAGTTTTCCTGGATCATCCCCTGGTGCTCGCACGGTTGAGACAAAAACGAGTAAGATTCTGGTCTTCAATACGCCTTTTCACGCAACACGATCCAGAAAAACAAAGGTATTAGCTCAGAAGTGTTTGACAGGTGATTTTGAGCATGCAAGACGGCGTCTATAGCGCATTTAGGTCTTCGGCTTTTGGGGGGGGTCAAATGACCCTCTCAGACCTTTTGGGGGGGGTCATGACCCCGTGGACCCCCCCCAGGATCCGCCAGTGTGGTAGACGCTAGCTAAAATACCAGTAGTGCCATAAACTCTAAGATGTCCAGAGCTAATCAGTACCTTAATATTTCACTTTCCGTTAATATTTGGAAGACACGTTATGGTTTCATTAACTCGTTGTAAAGCGCTGGGGAGGTGGCCGGCGTTACCCCTATGCCGGGCTTACCCCAGAAAAATCAACACTTTTTTAAAACTCGATTTTCTCAACCTTATACTTATTCCACGAAACCGAATTTTTGGGAAAAC